CAAATCCACACCATACTTGATTTAATGAAGTTGCTTATAGAACTCCCTCCTCATTGCCCTGTGGGCTCCCTTGTGAAGGCCACAAAGGTCTACTCAGTCCTGCATCTGCGGATGGTCTGTTAGTGCTGACCTGCACAAGCGCAAGGCTGCTGGAGAGGGAGGAGAGGGAGCAATGATGAAGCCCAATTAAGTGGAGCAACCGATGGTCAGCACAGGCAGAGCACACAGGTGGCATGTGTGACTCATTTCAGGGTGGCAGCCTGGCATGACAGCTACAGCACAGGGCCCCAAGCCAGCCCATTAAGTTTGCGTCTGAGCACTGCCATACGCCATAACATCTCAGGGAAGATAGTAACCTCGCCACACCTCAGTGTGCTTGTCTGTAGAATGGGCTGCACCACCAGCCTCACTGCATCCTAATGGGGATGAAACGAGATATTAGTCAGTTTTAGAATGATGTCTGGCACATGGCGAGGGCTATGTAAGCATGAGTTAATTCTTAAATATATGTACTTTTAAATATCTACATTTGGTTTTGGTTTGGTTTGCAGTAGTGCTATTAAAATCCTCCTAAAATGTCTGATACGATTTTTCCACTCTGGAAGGTACAGCACAAAAACTCCACTTCACACTAAAAGAGGAATGTGGCAAATACATCTGGTTAATTGACGCTCTGCATGGCCTTGATTGTGTAAACAACATCTTTGCGAGGTTTTCAGAGCCCTTTCTATTTACTCACTTGGTTGAACGTAGGAGGTAAAGTGATGAAGCCATACGGCTGGGTTTTTAGAAAACACATCAGACCTTAAAGATTCAATGTGGTCACCTCGGCAGGCTGTGATCACCCCCATCGCTCATGATGCCGGAGGTACGCCTTGCAGGGGAGGCCGGTAAAGCCCAGCTGACGGCTTAGTCAGCCTCAGCAGCCTCTGTCCGTCTCTGTCTCGGTCTCTCTCCTCTCTTCCAGAGCTTGTTTAGAGGTGAGAAGGACCCGAACCATCTAATACAATTTTGTAGGTGAGGCAACAAAGATTGAACAACAGTGCCTGAAAGTCACCCGTAAATGACTAGAAGGCAGTCACTCCACCGTGTAAACTCACTACAGAGAATGTCATCAACCTTACTTACCGGTACGGCTTCTAAATGACTTTGTATTTTCCTAAAAAATTGAATCAATTTTTAAAAGATGAATGGGCCAGGTGCAGTGGCTCATGCCTGTAATCCCAGCACTTTGAGAGCTGAGGTAGATAGATCACTTGAGGTCAGGAGTCCAAGACCAGCCTGACCAACATGGTGAAACCCCATCTCTACTAAAAAAAAAAAAAAAAAAAAGATTACAAAAATTAGCTGGGTGTGGCGGCAGGTGCCTGTAATCCCAGCTACTCAGGAGGCTGAGGCAAGAGAATCACTTAAACCTGGGAGGCAGAGGTTGCAGTGAGGTGAGATTGTGCCACTGCACTCCAGCCAAAAAAAAAAAAATTACCTACCCCCACTGAGACTCTTAAAAAATGAGCAACAAACAGGTGATGAATCTGTTTACTCGTATTAACAGAGTATGGGCCAGGAGCATGGGTGGGTCATGCCTGTAATCTCAGACTTTGGGAGACTGAAGCAGGAGGATCCCTTGAGGCCAGACAATTGGGATCAGCCTGGGCAACATAATGAGATTCCATCTCTACCAAATAATACAATGAATAGGGTGTAGTGCACACACCCGTAGTTCCAACTACTTGGGCGTCCAGGGTGGGAGGATCGCTTGGACCCAGGAGCTTGAGGTTGCAGTAAGCTGTGACCATACCACCACACTCCAGCCTGGGCAACAGAGTGAGACCCTGTCTCAAAAAATCATAAAAATATTTAAATAAACACGTAAGTTTTTAAAACTATGCAGCATGTGACCAGTCTCAGCGTATTTGGGAGGGGCAGCCCAATTTAAACTGACTGCACAGATTAGAAAATGCTGGTAAACAATTTCTCCACCTGGCAGTGAACACCGGGGCTTTGATCTTCGTGAGTAAAGGAAGGTCTACATCTTAGGCATTTGACGGTCTGTGGCTGGGAACTAGAGACAGGTGCATATGTGTGGATGTACATACACACACACACACACACACGCCCCTTTCAGCATGAAGTGAGGCCATTGGTGAATGCACACACACACACACACACACACACACACACACACAAAGCCCCTTTTGGCAGAAGTGAAGCCATGAGGGCATGCACGCACACACACACACATGCACACACACACAAGCCTCTTTGGCATGAAGTGAAGCCATAGCAGGTGGGCTATCAGACCCTCAGAGGCAGGAATCAGCAGGCAGCTGACACTGGGAGGCTAAACCAGAGACCCGGTGGGCTCCTCAGTGAGCAGGGCGAAAAGTCTGGATTGGCCAAAGGTGTCCATCCTGGCAGGCCTGGGACCACCATCAGAAAGGTCTGTGGGAGACAGGAGGGCACCTCCAGGGCCTGAGCATCCCCATCAGGGCAGGACCAGCAAGAGCAGTGCTGAGCCCAGTTCTGGGAAACCTGTGTGCCAAGCCGATTGCAAAGGCAGGGCCTGGAGTGCCAGGAACTAAGATGACAACACTGTGTTTGGTCTTGATACCAGGGAGGCGCCCTGCTGTGAGGACCACCGTGGGTCAACATGGGACCTGAGACACTGCTCACCCAATCCTGAGCTTCTGAATTGGCCACCTTATATGGCTTCACACTTGACAAGGTATCAGAGCCTAGAAAAAGCAATGAGCCAGACTTACAGACAGAGGCATGCCCCGATCAGGAATCCTCAGGGCGCTGGTGGCAACAAAAGCTAATTTTATACCCTTTGCTGACTCGAGAGCTAAGGCACAGGGCCCTGGATTGCATGTGGCTGCAGTCTCCCACAGCCATTCTAAGATAATCTAAAAATTGGTCTCTGGTGGCCGAGCGTGGTGGCTCATGTCTGTAATCCCAACATGTTGGGAGGCCGAAGCGGGCAGATTACTTGAGGTCGGGAGTTCGAGACCAGCTGGGCCAACATAGCAAAACCTCATCTCTACGAAAAACACCAAAAAAAAAAAAAAAAATTAGCCAAGCATAGTGGCACACACCTGTAATCCCAGTTACTTGGAAGGCTGAGGCACAAGAATTGCTTGAACCCAGCAGCCAGAGACTGCAGTGAGCCAAGATTGCGCCACTGCACTCCAACCTGGGTAAGAGTGTGACTGTCTCAAAAAAAAAAAGAAAAAAAAAACAACTATCTCTGGTGGTCTCTACCAATCTTTCCATGATTAACTTCCTGTTTTTGGTCCCTCAACACCAATTTCAATGTCTAGTCTCAAATGTCTTAATGTTACTAGAATTCATTCACACCATTAAATTAACTAACATTAAGATGGCAACATTTTACTCTTCCAGTTCTATTTGCATATTTTGAGAGAATCACAAATAAGAATCATCTCAACCAAAGGAACGAATAATCGTAATCGTAAAATTTCAGCCATGTGATACTTGGATAGGGAGACATTTTAGGGCGGAGTAAAGCTAGCTAGTATCCATTCCTCCTTCATAATCGCACCTCACTTTCCTCCCGGGAAATTTTCTCTCCCCCATGATGTAGCCTAAGGGCTTACCTCCTATTAGAGATACCAGACATGACATATATATCCTCCCTCTCACACCCAACTATGGCAGAAGGCAGGCATAAGGCCCAGTTCAGTCACATGGGCAATGGTTGGCAGCAGAATGATGACCCTGCAGATCCTGCCTTCCAGTCCCTCAGATGCCCTCTGGTCGCTGCCCTCGCCTCCCGTGATCCCTCCACCTTCCACGAATTCTGTGAGCCACCTTCTCCCACAGCCTTCCAGTAAAGTACTTTTTAAGTTAAATGGTCTTTGCGGTTTGCAAAGAACATGGATTCCTAAGTGGATGCCATGACCACGTCTACCCTCAGTAAGGCCAGCGATGGCTGGACAGAGACCTGGCTGGCTCACTGTACGCCTTCCATGCAGAGGTTGGAAGGCAATACACCACAGTGATAAACGTCGTGAACGGATGCTGCTCACATATGTACAACCAGAAGCAAAAGCCACTGAGAGGACCTGCGATTGGGAGACAGGAAAACTGCATCCTGTTGTCCAGTTGAAATGGGATGGGCTCACATGTAGCCCTGAAGGCCAGGCCGACAGTAGAAACATCCTCTTGCCTGCCAGTCTTCCATTCGCCCTCCTGCCATGGGTATATACTCACACGTGCGTATGAACATGTGCAAGCCTGCACACACCCGCACGCACATGTACACATGCTCACATACATGCGCACACTCACACACTTGGCCAGCAGGTATCCTCCTGGTCCTCTCTGGGGAGAATCTCTCTTGGAGACTATGGCAGGCCTAGCATCCAAGTGGGGCCTGGTAGCAAGTGGAGAAACAGGAAAGGAAGGAATAGAGGGAGATCCAAAAAATACTTATGCTTTCAGACCATGACCCCAGAACATTTCACAATCATCTCCTCTGGTGGGACCCAAAAGGCCAGGTGACTGCACTCACAATTACACATCTCAAATAAGCCAGGAGCCCTAGAGGGACATACCACTTTGCTCTATGTAAGACTAACAGGGCCACCCAGACAGCCTGACAATAGAACATTCCCAACGTACGATGCCAAGCTGTCGCTCCCCACCATGCCCACGTCCACTACATTCTCTTCCAGTCTGGGAGCCACAGGCGTTTGTGCCGACTGGAGAGGTGAGCAAGGAGGGAATAGAACAGCCCACCAGGCTCAGCACAGCAGAGACCCGCAGATCCCGCCCCCAGTGTCAAACCAACTCTTAACGGAACTCCATCTACCCACAGTGCGGACACACGGGACAGACCTATGGGTATACACACATGCACACAGGCACACACACGGACACACATTTCCCCAGCCCACCGGGAGTGCCCCTTACACAGGTTAACACCGGACCAAGAACAAAACGGGGGCAAAACCCCACGGGACCGAGGCAGAGGCGGCTTGCTTCCTAGCACGTTTATTGGAGCCTTGGTTAAGCGTGGATGCGGATCAGAAGCCCCCACCAGAGCCCAGCCAGGCCGACTGGAGCAGGGCACTGGGGGGCAATGTCCTTTTTCCCCATTATAGACAACAGTATTAAAAAAAATAAACTTTACAATAATACATTTTCGCTCATCTGTTGGGGTATTGTTTCCATAGTTCTGTTGCTTAAAAAAAGGAAAGAAAGGGGAAAACCACACAATATATGTATATGGATGTATATATACATATACGTTGGGAGAGGAGCCCCAGTGTGTACATACAGTTGACGTATGTCTAGGAAATTAGGAAAGAGAAAGTGGAAAGGAAGAGGAGGGAGAAGAGAGCAGGAGAGCTCGAGGGAACAGGGTGCTGCAGATACACACGCGGCTGTGGTCTCTCCCCTTCCTCTCCCCAAAGGGAGACCTGCCAAAGGACCCACGGGAAACCAAAAAAAAGCCAACAAAGGACCATTTCTCTCTGACTTCAAAATTTCTGCCACCAAGAAAGAAGGTGATGCCCGAGTTTTGCTGCCTCGCCACAAAGGGCTCTCCCAGGCAGGCTGAGCTCCCAAGCCGTCCTGGAGCTGGCCCCAGCCCCACCACTCTGTGCTAGTCAGGGGGAGCCCAGCGCAGTGCTAACCCCCTCCACCACCATCCGTGGGGAAGTCCCCACACCAGCTGCAGACCCACCAGCCCCACCCGAGGGCAGAGGGAGGGCAAAACCACCTCCATCCTCGAAGCCAAAGGGCTGAAGGTGGACCCCCGTGGCCAGCCCCACTGTCCCGCTAACCGATGCCCTCTGCCAGCCCCCAGCCAGTGACCAGAGTGGGCAGCGTGGGGAAGCAGCTGTGTCATCCTGCCCCCAGCCAGCCTCAGGCACAGCCCAGAGTCCCTTCCACTGCAGGCTCTTGTCTGGTCTCTGCTTCAGAAGGGTCCAGAGAGAGAAACACCAGGAGAAAGAGAAGGGCATTTCTAGAGCCTCGTGCCCTCCTCGGTACCAGTTTCCCCTGCCAGGGGACCCCTGGGCCAGCTCTCAGGCTGCCCGCCTGCTTGTCTGTTTGGTTTACAAAAACTTCTCCAGAGAAGAAACCTGGGAGGAGACAGGTTCAGCGACAGGTGGGAAAAACAATTTTTTTTTTGCAAGGTGCACGTGTGTCTGTGTGTTTCCATTTCGTCAGGCGGCTGTTCTTGTCTGCGTAGCTTTCGAAAATCTTCTTACTCGGTTCCCACAGTCTACAAGGCCAGTTTCAGCATCAGGACAGACAGCACGGTCAAGGCAGCCGACGGTCTGGCTCTGCTGGGGCCTGAGTTAGGTTTGATCACCTTGTTACTCCCTGGGATGATATTTGTCGTGAGCTGAGTCCAGAGCAGGAGGAGAATCAGGAACAAAGAGAATGAAAACAAAGAAAACAATCAGGAGGCCTGGGACCAGGCAGAGAAATGGACTCGGGAAGAACTGGACACCTCAAGCCCCTTTCTTCCATCCACGGGGACCCTCCTTTGCACTCTGAAGGGAGTGCTGACTCTCCTGGAGCTGGCCCAGGCAGGAGCAAAAGGGAGTGCTCTGTCCCTTCTGGTCACAAGCCCTGGGGTTTGGAGAGGAGGGCAGTGGTCACCAGGAAAACAGGCTACTCCTCCCTGCATCGGGGCTGAGGACCTGTGTCCCAGTGAGGAGGCAGACGGTAGAAAGAGCTGAAGGAGAAGGAGGAGAGAAGAAGGAGAGGGGAAGGAGACAGGAGAAGAAGGAGAGGGGAAGGAGAGGGGAGGGGTAGGAAGGGGAGGGGAGGGGTGGAGAAGGGTGGGGAGGGACAGGGAGGGGGGTGGAGGGGAGGGGAGGGGTGGGAAGGGGAGGGGCGGGAGGGGTATGGGAGGCAAGGGGTGGGAGGTGGGAGGGGAGGGGTGGGAAGTGGGAGGGGAGGGGAGGGAGGGGTGTGGAGGGGAGGGGAGGGAGGGGTGTGGAGGGGAGGGGAGGGAGGGGTGTGGAGGGGAGGAGAGGGGAGGGCAGGGGAGGAGAGGGGAGGGCAGGGGAGGGGAGGGGAGGGAGCCCACATTCTCCCTGTTCCTCAATTTCTTCAAATCCCTCCTCCTCCATGAAGCCCTCCCTGAACATCTTTGTCTGAGTTTCTCTCTCTTCTATGAGGTCTCACACTGCCTTTTCTTCTCATCTAAGTTACTATCTTGGGTCTATAAGTCATAGATATAGATATAGATATAGATATAGATATAGATATAGATATAGATACAGATACATTCCTGTGCTGGGGGTTTCTTCAAGGAAAGAACTGTGTCTGTTTCCACTTCTATGCCTCCTAAATATCACAGAAACAGTGCCGAGTAGGTGGTCAACACAATTGTCTTAAAGAGTGAGGAAGGTATGGGAGGGCTTCTGCTCAGAGCAGCCATTTGTCTCTCCCCAAGGAGAGAGCCAGGGGCCCTGGATGCAGCCTCTGCGCTCCCTCACCCTGCCCCAGCAGACTAAGTGCCCACCCTGGTCCACAGGCTCAGCTGGCCCAGCCCATGCGATGAGATTTGAGGGCACTGGATCTGAGGCTCGCCAGGGAAATGCCGCCCCTCCCGGCCCAGCCTTCTGCACCCATCCCCACTCTGCCCCCAACTCACCTCTGTGAAGCACATGCTTAACTCTTTGGAGTTGTTGGCCTTCAGTCCCTGCTCCTGCGAGAGAGAAGGCACCAGTCAGGACAAGTCACCAGGCTGTTCCTGACCGGGCTTTGTCCAGAGACTTAGATGAGGCCAGGTACTGTTGGCTTCGCTAAGCACAGCCAGCACACACAGTGAAGAGGGGTGGCTCAATTCCACACAGCACAAAATGCTTCTGTCCTTCTCTGACACCCTCAGCAATTAGGACCTGACTCCTCTGGCTCCTAGAGAACAGAGTTCTAACTCTGCTCCCAACTAGCAGCATTATATAGTCATCAGTCATTTGCATGTCTGTCCACATACTCACAGCAAGTCTTGGGCAGGGACCGTGTCTTCTTTTCCTTACACTGAGCAGTGTCTGGTTCATAACAACAACTCAACAGATTCACTAGATGCCTGCATCCATGAATGAATGAATGAATGCCACAGATCAGAAACGGCCTCCAAGGGCCAGCCAACTCCTGTTAATTTGCCATGGCTAATGGAGGACTCTATAGAAAAAGATCATAAGCGTTCATCTGGGCTTGAGGGGAAGAGAGGCGTGATTGATTAGTGATGTCTGCCACTGGTACCCATTAGGTGGATATCTGGCAATTTCACCAGCCCATTTCTGTCCTACACGAATGTGCCCCACCTGGGAGCACTGTGGACAAGGTGAGGGATGAAGAAGGCTGGCTTGGTGATGATTCCAGGATTCTCTACCCTGGCATGGCCACCAGGATGCAGGGCCAGGGGGTGTGCATGATGAACAGCCCTCTGTTATCATCACTGTAATGGAGATCCATGGGAACCAGCTGGGGACGCAGCGCTTCCATCCAGGATTCAAACGGCTTGTTCCCAGGGCACTTCCAGGGAGGCTCTGGCCACCAGAAGCAACTGGGAAGCCCAAGAAATTATGCCACAATCACAGCTCTTGGCCAGAAGTATCAATAACCCCTTGGACATCACAGGCAATCTGCCACCCAGGGCATCTGGTCAGCTAAACAAGACCCCAGCTGTCACATGGAGACCCTGGCCAAGAGTAGAGTCACTGCCAATGGTGGAGATAGGACCACGGTGATGATTAGCACAGCGAGAATGGAACCAGGAGTGTCCCCAGGTGCCAAGGTGATGCCCAGCCAACTCCCCAGCTACTGCCCTCTGCAGAAGGGCCTGTGCTCTACAACCCTTCCAGACCCAAGGCCTGGACTCCACTCCCCAGGACTTGGTGCTGCTCCAGCTAAGACTGTGTGAGGCCACAGGGCGGGGTGTCGGGGGAAACAGAACACGCCCACCCCCTCGGAGGCTGTGCTGTCATCATGGCCTCGCATCTGCCCTCCCGAGTCCCTTGGCCAATCCTTGCTCAGTCACCTCAGTCCCCACCTGTGACATCCTATGGCTTGTTGTAGTCTGTGCCTGTGGACTAACACCTACGGACGCCCAGCATCACTTCCTACTCTCTCAGGCCAGTACCTGCCCTTTCTGGGAGTCCCTATCTTACCCCTGTGTCCCTACCAACAGAGCTCACTAAACCACTGGAAGCCCTCTCCTTTGACCCCTCCCCATCTCCTGTGTCCCCCCACCCTCTCCTCTCCCCCCTCCCCTTTCCTCTGTCCCCTCCCCATCTCCTGTCCCCTCCCCCTCTCTTCCCCTCCTCTGTCCCCTCCTCCTTTCCTGTCCCCTCCCCAGCTCCTGTCCCCTCCCCCCTCCTCTCTCCCCCTCCTCCTGTCCCTCCCCTCCCCCCTCCCCTCCCCTGCCTCCCCTCCTCTGTCCCCTCCCCATCTCCTGTGTCCCCTCCCTCCCCCTCTCTCCCCTCCCTCCCCCTCTCTCCCCTCCCCTCTCCCTCTGTCCTCTCCTCTCCTCTCCTCTGTCCCCTCCCCTTTCTTCACTAAACCAAAGGAACCCACAGGGAATCACAGAGGCAGAAGCCCCCTGCACTCAAGGTCCTCACCGCCTGTCCACCAAAGCAGCTCCATTTTTATTTGTTTTGTATATTTGAGTCTTAGCTGTTTTGTGTATTGGAGTCTTAGCTTATTTGTATATCAGAGGTACGCATAAAATTGTTTGGACAATAGTCTACTGCTTAACAAAATAAGGCTTGAGACAACAACCGACAAGAAGGGCCCCCAGGGTGGGACCTGCACAACATGCTGTGGCTGTGAGTGCTGCTCTCAGGGGATCCCCGGACCTAGACACTCTCCAGGGTTACACCCAAGGTCAGCCCACGCAGAGCAGCTGACAAAGCACCCAGCACCTGCCAAGTGCAGCATTTTCCCTGACCTGGGGGCTTGGCCAGGTGTGAAGAGAGGGGATCTAAAGGCTCACAAGGGGGGCCTGCAACTGGATTTTGCTCCTCGGAGTGAGCAGAACTTAACAAGTTCCTCTGAAACAGGATAGAGGGGAGGGGACGCTGGCAAGTATTACACAGGAAAAATGACACGGAAGAGGAGAGTGAAGAAAGGGGTGGAAGGAAGAGAGGAAACCAGGTGAAGAGAGAAGCAGACAAAGAGAAACAGGAAAGAGGGAGAGGGGAAGGGGACAGAGTAAGAGGGGAGGGGACACAGTAGAGGGGAGGGGACAGAGGAGAGGGGATAAGACAGAGGCAGGGAGGGGACAGAGGAAAGGGGAAGGGACAGGGGGAAGGGAGAGAAGAGGGAGGGAACAGAGGGAGAGGGGAGGGAACAGAGGAGAGGGGAGGGGACAGAGGGTAGGGAAGGGACAGAGGAGAGTTGAGGGGGCACAGGAAAGAGGATGGGACGGGGAAAAGGGAAGGGACAGAGGAAGCGGAGAGGGGACAGGGGGAAAGGGGAGGGGAGGGCATGGTAAGGGGAGGAAGCTGAGGGAGAAAGCAGGAGGGGAGGGGACAGAGGAACAAAAGACAGAGGGAAGACACAGAGGAAGGAGGCAATAGAGGGCCTGGGAGAGAACGAAGTGGGAGGCGAGGGGGCTGAGGACAACCACTGTACCCTTTCATCTGATGCTGATTATCAGGGGACAGTGAAACACCTCCCTGGGCCAGCCCCAAGGGACGTCTGCCCCGAGGCGCAGTCTCTGCCAGGGGCGACAGAGCCCTTGGGTGGGAGTGCTGCCCAGCAGCTGACCTTTTCTGAAAGCGGCACCCAGTGGGGGGAGGGGCAGAGAGAGTGACCACCTCTGATGCCAAAACCACCAATGTCTCAAATTCAGTGCCTCCCTACCCTCCAGGGGCTCATACTCTGAGAAATAAACTCGCACGTAACCACTGATATGGTCTGGCTGTGTCCCCACCCAAATCTCACCTTGAATTGTAGCTTCTATAACTCCTGTGTGTCATGGGAGGGAACCGGTGGGAGATTACTGAATCATGGGGGTGGGTATCTTCTGTGCTGTTCTCGTGGTAGTGAGTAAGTCTCATGAGATCTGATGGTTTTATACATGGGAGTTCCCCTGCACACGCTCTCTCTTTGCCAGTCACCATGTAAGACGTCCCTGTGCTCTTCATCTTCCACCATGATTGTGAGGCCTCCCCGGCCATGTGGAACTGTGCATCCGCTGAACCTCTTTCCTTTATGAATTACCCGGTCTCAGGTTATGTCTTTATTAGCAGCGTGAGAACAGACTAATACAACCGCCTTCACAGCAGATGAATACACAGAGGGGAGAGAAGGATGCCTGAGAGTCTAGGGAAACAGACTGGGGCTTACTCCGTCCCTACTCAGAGCCTCTCATCCCCTGGAGGTGTCTGTGGCTCCAGTCCCAAAGTGCACAGGCCTGGGCTGCAAGGATGGCAGGACACAGGGCTGCTAACAGTAAATCCTCCACCATGGAAGCAGCAAGGGGACTCTGGGAAGAGCCGACCCCCAAGGGCTGCGCTGTGGGTGCCACCAGGAGCATTAAAGAACTGGCTCTTGCAGATGGCACTGGGCGAAGGACGCACACACAGAGGAAGGACAGTGGGAAAGGCATGCTTCATCCTTCCAGAGCTTTCTCCCAGGGATGCTCCGTTGCCCAGGAAATGAGAAGGAAATTATTGTCTTCCTCCTCTTCCTTGCCTACCTCCTACCTACCCCAAAAGCCTGGGCCTGCAGTCCCAGAGCCTCGCTGGTCTAGTGTTTTCCTGCTGGCTGGAGCTGCGGTTCTCCAGCGCTCCCTGCTTCTGTCCCTGGCCCCGCCTCTAAATCTCAGTGCCCCTGGCCTTCCTCCCTAACCTGGGCCATCCCCAGTAACTCACACCTCTCACATCGTCTCCATCACAACAACTCAACGCTGCCTGTGACAGGAGACAATGCACACAGGGTGTGGTTGTGTTTCAGTAACACTTCATTTGTAAAACCAGGCACAGCAGACCCCCTCTCTGCACAGTAGACCCCCACTCAGCACTCTGTGCTGTTCTGACTGTGCCTTGGCTCCACTGCTGGTTCACCTGGGGCAGTCCGCCCACTGCAACCCCACACCCATTCTCCCAATTCTTTTCAGGCCTAGCAGCAGGCATTGCTATGCCCATGGGTCCTTGACCTCCACTCCCAGTCAATGCACTCTCTCCGTCCTCTGGACCCCATCATCCTCTATCAGTCCCACCCGCGGCAGGTGCACAAATCACCTTCTCCCTCATAGACATCTGAGCTTCATCCTGTCCATCCTCCAGCACTGGGACCACAGTCCTGGCCCATGATGCTTGTTGGCCTTGGTGCCTGCGATGTAGTGATGTGCAATAAGAATTTATGTTGAGTCAATGAATGAATGCACTGACAGATCTCTCAGTACCATGCTCTGAGGTCCACAGGCCTGTGTGCTGGGTATAAGACCCATCCAGAAGCAGGCAGGAGGAGGAAGGAGAGAGAGGTGGCCACTGGCTGCAGAGTCGGCAGCAGGCATGCAGTGAGGGGGCCTTGGGGCAATCTCTCAAAACTCATTTTTAATTTGCCCAAGATGTGATTGGCAATCTGAATCACAGGTGGGCAGGTGGAGACGGGGGTGGCAAAGGAGATGGTGTGTTGTAGGGCTCCCCGGTGCTGGGAAAGGTAGGACTCCAGCTGATCTTATGGGGCCCTGCAAATTGGCATTCTGGGCCCAGAGCAGCCCCAGGGGAGTGTTGGGGAGAACAGCAGGCCATGGCCAGGGAAGCACCAACCATCGCCCATCTCCCCCCAGCCCCCCACTGCAGTGCCCTGGTCCAGGCCCCATCATAAGACCAAGAGTCTCTAACAAACCTTCCTACAACTTCAACAGAAAAGCATCTTCACCTCCGCAGCTGCCCAGTCCTGTGCTTACAGAGGGCACCCAGGAGGAGGAGGAGGAGAGCTGCAGGCACTGAAACACACAGACCCCATCCTCCAGGACAGCAGGGAGTTCCAATAAATCAAATGAACTGGGGACTCCGGGGTCTCTCTTTCCACCTGAATGGAGCACCCACTCCACGCCAGGCACTGTGCAACCCAGCTACGCAGGGTGACACAGGAGGGTGAGATGCTACTCTGGCCTCTGGGGACCCTGGCCTAGCAGGGGAGAGGAGAACACATCATGATGGGGCCGTGAACACGCAGAGCGGGAGCCCAAAGCAGGCAGAAGGCAACCTGGTGTGGAATCGGAGAAGGCATTCCCAGGAGGTGACACCGGGGTAGGACGCACCAGGTGGAGAGGAGAGGGAGAGGGAAAGGAGAGACGTCTTGCTCAGAGGAACGGCCAAGTGCAGGTCAGCAGCTGACTCACCCCCCCTGCACGTGTCCAAGACTGACCTGACACTCAGGTTCCCTGCTCCAGAGCCCAGTGGGGTGGAGAGAAGGGTGAGGGAATTCAGACGAGGTATATATTTAATGAACATGGGCCGGGCCAGAAGGCTCCAGGAAAGACCATTCTGCAGACCCTATCAGGCCTCTCCAAGGTCCACAGAGCCCCAGGCAGGCAGGGTTGCCCAGAGAGGGGGCCACACCCTGAAGGAGACACTTCTGAGAGGAGGACCTAAGACACCAGGGCCAACTCGGAGGGGGCTCCTGGCTCTAGTGTGGTGGCGTCCAAGACACCCACAGCCCTCCTCAACAGCCCCACTCCCACCGTGGAAAGTCCTTTGCGGGGAGCAGATTTGGAGGAGGAGGAAGCAGAAGGTGGCCGGGGGACAGGGTTCCTGGCCCTTCTCGACTGCCAACTGGCTGTGGGGCTGCGGACATGCTGCTGTCGTCACCAGGCCTCTGGTCACTCGTGTTTGGGAAGATCTTGGAGGGTCCTTCAAGTCCTGACATACGGATACCCATGTAGGGACCCAACTGGCTACCATCTCTGGGGTTCCCTAAGCCTTCCCCTAAGGAAGAAGGAAGGACAGAGAGCAGCAAAATAATCTTGCCTCTGTCTCTAGGGTGTATCTAGGGTATACAGGCTCCCCCAACCCTTCCTCCCATCCAGGCTCAGCTCTCGGTCTCTGCGATCACTCAGGGACTCCTTCCTATAGCTATGGGTGCCCCTAACACCCAAGGGCCCCACAAAGACCACCACAGAGTCACTCAATCAGAGATGGTCCAAGCTAGGAGAGCTGAGAGACAGGGGACAGACGTGGGCTGGGGAGGAGGGAAGGCACCCCCGCCAGTCCCAGACAAGCCAAGGGCAGGGGCGAGGGCTTATTCACTTGACATTTCCAGCTCCCAGCATGGGACAGTAGGTGCTCATTAAAAACATTATAATTAAAACTGAATCAGAGGCCCTTTGTCTTCCATTTCTCTAAGAAACCTGGAGAGTGGTGGTCATTGGACCCCTTTTGAGGGTCTATTTTTCCTCCTTTCCTCCTGGGAGGCTCTTTCAGCTGTCCTGCCCAGACTGACTTAGTCCACAGGCCTCCAGCCACCTGCCAGGCAGCCTCCCCAGACCCCGGATTTGTAACACCTAACATTTGTGCAGCATTCCTCCACTGACCAAGCACTTTCGCATATATCTTCTCACATACAGATCACCCGCATCTCCACTGAGATCAAACCAAGATTTGAGCAAGCCCCCCAATGGTGAGACCACAGAAAACCAGGCAGGGGCTAAAAGAAACCAAGTAACCGATGGCTTGGCAAACTGCAGGAGAAAAATAATTAAATGGGCCTCAGAATCATCAGGGCTGACGGTGAAGGGGGCTGGGTGGGGGTCCCAAAGCCACGGCTTTGGACTTTACAACCACAAGGAAGCACAGTGGGAGTCCTGGGAAGGTTGCCAGCATCCTCTTGAGTCAGCCTCTCTCCAGATGGGCCAGCCCAAGGGGCTCAGGATGAAGGGTGCATGCAGGAGGCTGGTGAGGTCTGGATGACCTGACAGGTGGCACAGCCCCGACTGGCCGAGCTGCCCGCTGCTCTAGCATGAAATTGAGCAATTGTCTGCAGAGTAGGACCCCGAGCCCCCTGCTCGCAGCCACTCAAGCATATCCAGTGTCATTAGGAGCTGCCCAAGGGTGACAACAGCACCTCAGCTCCAATCAGGAGGGGAGCGAAGTGGAAGGAGCAGGAAATGGAAGAGCTCCCCACCCAGCCGCCAGGAGGGCACTTGGAGGTCAGCTGCTCCTGAGCAGGGGGGCACACAAGGGAAGTAGAAGGAGTCGGAAAGAGAAGGGGAGGGCTTCCCTAACCAGAAGAGGCACACGCACTTCTCCAATGGGTGCCCAGGAAGGATTTGAACCCCCGCCAAGCTGGGTCCCTGCTCAAGCCTGCATCCCGGCACTGTGGATGTGCACTGTTGACCCTATGAGCCTGCTGCCCCACTCAAGACGGGTGCCTCGCTGCCCCACACACAGCCAGGACTTGTTCCCCCTGCACCTGCGCCGAGGCTGTGCCCCACTGCCTGCTCTTCAGACCCCACAGCCTGCAAGGCAGGTATAGCACTGTGATGTAACAGGTTTAACGCTTCCAAGATGAATGCCCAAATGAAGGAACGAGTGAAGAATGACCCCCGGCAGCTCCTCCCTGCCTCTCGGGTCCCTGATCGAAAGGGAGGACCCTCCCTCCCCAGCCTCAGCTGAGTCATTTCCCACACCACTTCCAGCACCATGATGCTCCCCCCAACGCCTCAGCCACACCCCCCTCACCTGGACAGACGTGCAGGTGGTGATGACACTGGTCCCCAGGCTGGTGCTGTCACTGAGGTCATCTGGCAAGGAAGGCGTCTTCTCCACCCGAGGAGCCTGGGTGGCCTGGAATGAGGGGCCTTTAGGGGACACGTTCACATCCGTGCCGTTGCCAAAGGCCTGGATGGCGTTCCCTGGGATGGGGGTGAGGGTAGATGCAGAGAAGTCAGGACCCACGTCCATCACTCCTGTCCCTGCTCCTCACCCTGACCATCCCCTTCCCTGGAATAGTCCAGAAGTCGGGACAGGGCATGGTACAGGCAGATTCCCTCTGCTGAACCTCTTTTTCAGATACCTACAAAGGTCTCACAGCTACGGAATATAGCAAGAGAGAGGTTAAAACACAAAGAAGCCAGAATAGCAAGAAGTGTACATGATGGGGAACACAGAAGAAAAAAGGAGAAAAAGAAGGGGGTGGGATACAGGGGAGCCTAGGGGAGGAGGGGGCCACCTCCTCTGCATGGTGCCACCGGCCACACCTCCCGAAGCTCCTCATCCCCAGCTCCCTAGTCACAGGCTCTTCCGGGTCCTGTGCCTCCTCGGACGTTCCCAGGTCCCCACCTTGGCATGCAGGGGCCCCACATTCAGCCCTCTGCCTGCTCCACACCACAGGCTCTCCCTGGGTGGTCTCTGCTCCTCCCACACCATCCAGAGAGGTGCCCAGAAAACCTCCGCCTCCACGTGCCACATGCATCTCAAACTCGTTATGTCTAAGCCTGGGCTAGGTGTCTCCTCCTACCCTTGTCAACGCTCTTTTCCCTCTGACCCCTCATACTGCAGCCTTGAAGGTATCATCTCTTATCTACCCAGGTCCCCCATGTCAGAATCCTGAGGGTCACCCATGGTGCCTCCCTGCACATCTGCTGGCAGCCCGCTGAGCCCACCTCCTAAAGATCCCTCCACCCCACTTCCCATCGTTGTTCCCCTCCCACTGCTCTGGTTCACAGCCACCATTTGTGCCCCTGTAAGCAGCTACTATGGCCTTCTGATGGGCCTCTCTGTGTCACGTCACCTGTCGGAATTGATTCAGTCTGACCCCCACTGCCTCACAACACAGGCAGATTCACTTTCTGGAATGCTGATCTGATCTCACACCCTAGCTGACATTCCTTCAAACACCCGCAACACCACTGTCACCCCTGCACGACAAGAAGATCTAAATGCCTCAGGCCTACAAGGCCCTGCATGACAAGGATGCTGTCTACCTGTCCAGATCACTCTTGCCACTCTGGCCATCTTCAGTGCTATGTAGCAAGGCTATATGATTGGCAGTTCCCTCCACCCGCCATGGTCTTCTGTGGAGCCCAGGACCTCTGCCCAGGGTGGACTCTTCAACTAACCGATGCCCAGCTAAGCATCCACAGATACATTTTCCAAGAAGCCTTCAGGGCCTCCCTCTTCCTGGCTGACTTGGGCATCCCCACCCTGGGCTCCTCAAGAACCCTGTGCAGACCCCTCCTCTAGAGCAGCTCACTTGCACTGTGATCACGAGTGACCCCTCTCAGTCCACCTCCATCAGGCTATACCTCCTCAATGACTTGGATCCTTGAATCTCCAGTGCCACACAGAGAGGGAGGAACAGAAGGATGGAGAGATGGACAGAATAAATAAAGGAGGGAAGGAAATAGGGAAGAAACCTTCAGGTGGGCATGGGTGGCAATGGATGTTGAGCTAGAAAGATCAAAGGCAGACTGAGCTAGACTGGGGCTAAAGTCTCTCTAGCTTTTGGGTTAGGAGTTTGACGATGTGAAAGGAAGTCGATTCCAGGGACAAACAAACTCATTAAAGGGAGATATGACAGACGCCAGCGAGCCTCATAAGAGTGCTCAGTCTCCAAAGGAACCTGGCTGAAGCTGTCCCAGTAACAGACCAGAGCAAATAACAGGCTTGACATAGGCTCAAGGCCTCTGGTGGTAAACTGAGGCTGGTCTACTGACAGTTCTGGCGTGAATCTCCAAGAGCTCAAAACCCAAGGTCCCCATGGGCAACACCCATGGCGGAGAAGCCTCATATACATCCCCAGCCATCCCCACGGAAGGAGATGGGAATGGCCAGGACAGACTCTAGGAGGGGAGGGAGGGGCTGCTGCGGTTGGGGACAACATCCACAACTTACGGAGGCACGGGTTCTCGGTGAAGTCCCGGAGGAACTTCTCACACTCCTCCTCCATGTTCCCGCTGCCACGACAGCTGCACCAGGGGGACACCACGATGCCAGTGGGGCTGGAATCCACATAGTTGGGCGTCATGTCAAACCCTGGGCAGGGAGAAAGGTGGGGGAGAAGACAGAGGTACAGTAGGACCTTCCCCTTGGGCCCACAGACCGACCCCAGGCACAGCAGGGCAGAGGCCTGGTACCCATCCTCTCACCTGGCCCCCAAACACACATCCGTCCCAATCACACTCCTGACTCTGAGCATGACTATCCCAGGGACCATGGGGTCAGCAGCGGCAGAGGGGCCAGCAGCATAGAGGACACTGGGCTCCTCGCCACCAGGAAGGCAGAGAAAATGCCCTGGAGCCCCTCCCAGAGTGTGGGCCCGTGCTTTCTCCTTCACCAACAAGCAGCCAGTGTTCTAGAATCAGGGTGAATGAGGCTCACGTCCTGGGATCGGACCCCAGTGCCAACATTTATCGGCGAGGTGAGCCTGTGCAAGTCACTCAACTTCTCTACAGCCTCAGTTTCCTCATCTATAAAATGGAGATATCACCAACCCCCCAGCAAGAGCTATTGGGAGAATTCAGTAAGACAGGCCATGTAAACTGCTCGGTGCAGAGCCTGGAATGTCAGAACCGTGCCACAAATGTTACCTTTGTTTGTTTGTTTGTTTTGTTTTGTTTTGTTTTGTTTTGTTTTGTTTGAGACGGAGTCTTGCTCTGTTGCCGCGCAGTGGCGCGATCTCTGCTCACTGCAAGCTCCGCCTCCTGGGTCGACGCCATTCTCCTGCCTCAGCCTCCCGAGTAGCTGGGACTACAGACACCCGCCACCACGCCCGGCTAATTTTTTTGTATTTTTAGTAGAGACGGAGTTTTACCATGTTCATCAGGATGGTCTCGATCTCCTGACCTCGTGATCCGCCCGTCTTGGCCTCCCAAAGTGCTGGGATTACAGGCGTGAGCCACCGCGCCCGGCCACCTTTGCTTCTTATTTCAAAAGCTTAGAAGGCTCCTGGGGCCCTCCTCCCCACATGATAAAGAGCTGGGTCCTCCTCCTTGCTACAGAACTGCCTTTCTGCTGGTTTCCCCTCACAGCTCTCTCTGAATCTGCTGCAGAGAAGGCCAGGCTCAGGCTGTCTCCCCTGGCTGGCCCAGAGCCGGGCTGCGGCCCCTGCCCTGCTGAGATGGGGACAGCAAGGACCCACAGAACCCAGGTGTGCAGGAACAGCTTACCAATCATGCCAGCATAGGAGCCCAGACACGCCTGGTAATTGTCCGCAGGGCAGCTGGTGACCGTCTGGTAGGAGGCTCGACAATTGGCATGGAAGTCGGCCAGCCGGGACCTGGTGGCGGGGAGAAGATGCAATGCAGAAAAGCGGTTCAGTCTGGCTGCCTTCTGTCTCCTCTGTCCTGCCAGTGGCATCTCCTCCCTGCAGCTTCCCAGGGTGGAACAAGCCAGGAAGAGGGAGGGGAGGAAAGTCGGGGGAACCAAGTCTTTGTGGGGGCTCAAGCTGTGAGGACAGAGATTTGTCCTCAAGCTCCTTGAGGACAGAGATTTCCGGAGAGACAGGCACATAGTGCGGCTTAAGAAAAACTGAATGATTGGCTGATGGAAAGGACCCCACAAGGCACAGAAACAGCCTGCTCTAAATGGCTCTTTTAGGCAAAGGAACACAGGGAGGAGCCGGGTGGATTTGCGGAGAATGCCTGGACCCCAGGCAGGAAAGCTGGGTCCACCTTCTGTGGGGCTGCAGTCCTGGATGAGCCTGCCCAAGTGCTTCAACCCAGCACTGCAAAATCCCACCTGCAAAATGGGTGAATAGTCCCTTCCCTAGATGCTTCACAGGACCCGTCTGAGGGTCAAGGAAGCCACTGGCCAGGGAGACAAAAGAGTCTCCCTGGGTGAGACATGCCACGGGCATCCTCCACTGGTCTGTTCTGCGGTAAGCCAGAGCAAGGGCTCCTCTGCCACCCCTCCACCCCTACCCCAGTTCCCTATCCCACTCCCACCAGGCAGAAGTGGCCTTCCCTTCCCCTGGTGACCATAACACGCCATCACCCATTCCCCTCTGTCAGCATCGATGACACTGCATCAAAACTCCTTGTGCACAGCTCTATGCTCCCCATTGGGCCATGAGCCACTTGAAGTCAGACAGTATCTGAGCTGGGTCTGTCCCCATACCTCAGCTCCAGACCTAGACATGGAAGGTTCCACGGAGCACAGGGCATCGAAGTCTAGTATGCATGGCGAGCTCCATTCCTTTCTCTTCCCTCCTGCCCTGGGCCCTGGCCAGGAATGTTACCATCAGCCTGGGCTGGGAGAGGATGCTCCCCTCTCTGCCATGTCAAGTGACAATCATCACCTTCTACAGGTGAGTGTCCTTTGCCACACACACACACAGCCCTTATGTATCACATCAACTATGTCTCACAGCAGCTCCAAGTAGCTAGTAATAAGGTCTGTTCACGGATATTTCCCAATGATGGGCACACAGGAGGACTTCAGCCACCGTGCACTCCATGAGAATTCTATGGCGACTCGACAAGCTAGCTGCAGGATGGACCAGAACCCGGGTCACCCAAATCCCTTGCCCACACCCTTTGCACATATGGAACCTCATGAAGCCATCTCCAAGTTCACCCCAGGTTCAGCTCCCCTGGTTCTCCACTGGAACCCTCTCCCATTTGAGAAAGGAACAGGTAGAGGCAGAGAGAGACAGGAGGCTGAGAGGGACTGAGCCAGCCTGAGCCAGGAGAGAGAATGCAGGCTTTCCACGAGAAGGTGCTGGTGCCTGCTGAGGGGGCCCCCATCATGCAGGCACGGGCTGAGTGTGTCCCACCACTGGACAAATTCATTTCTCTAGAGGCCCCCGTGATCCTGAGGGATGCGTCTGAGAGAAGAAGGAAACCCTCCTGAGATGTGTCCCAGGCCCCTGCAGGCTGAGAGAAGGCCATGGGCACCAAAGCAAGAGTCGGCTCAGCTCTGCCCTAATTCACTGGGTGGCTGTGCCCGAGTTTCCTGCTTCTCAGGGACTCCAGTTTCTTATGTATCAGATGAATAAAAAGTACTCTAATTAGCACTTTAAACAGCACTTTAACAGTTTGGGATGATTCAAAAGTTCTGGAGATGGATGGCAGTGAAGGTTCCAGAACCATGTGAATACACTTAACACCACTGACTTGTACACCTACATGGTACATTTTCTGTTATGTGTATTTTACCACAGTGATGGTTTAAAAGGTACTTTCATATCCATCTTTTATTATTTAACCCTCACAAATGCTCCGTGAGATCTGACAAGCAGTTATTATTATCCCATTTTAGAGATGAAGCAGCTGAGCCTCAGAGAAGCTAAGCAACTTTGCCCCCAAGATCAGAGTCACTGAGTAGTGGAGCCAAGACTCAAGTCTAGAGCTCCAACAAGGTGGGCGCCATTTCTGGCAGGTCCCAGTGCTCCTGTGTGGGAGGAGGGTCTGGAGTCCTTGAAGGCCCTTCCAGAGCCATCATTCTGCACCTCAGGAAACAATGTCTTCCACAGGAAAAGAGGAGGAAATCTGCAGTTGTCTCTGCCTTCTCTTCTGCCCAGAAATGCACCCTCCACTTCCTCAAAACAAGCAGCAGCAGCATTTCCAAGCAATCCTTCACCCCTGCAGGCGGCGACTCCATCTCAAATGTCAAAACCCACACCCACCCCCCTCCGCAGCCAGCAAATAAGAATGCTGTGAGAGGGGAAGGGGGGTCTCCATGTCCCAGACCTCCAGAGACCCAAGAGGTGGCTTGAGAGTAGACCGAGACGCTAACAGGTAGATGGGATTTAGAGACAAAATCTGTTGAGTTGAATTTGCCCCACGCCCCAAAAAAAGTTGCAGTTTTAATCCCCAGGCTCTATAAACATGACCTTATTTGGAAGTAAGATCTTTGCAGATGTAATCCAGTTAAGATGAGGTCACAGTGGATTAGGGTAGGCCCTAAATCCAACGACTGGTGTCCTCATCAGAAGGGAAGAGATAGACACACAGGAAGAATGCCATGAGACAGCAGAGGCAGAGGCAGGAGTGATGAAGCCAGAAGCCAAGGAATGCCCAGCGCTGCAGCAGTGCCTGAAGCTAAGAGAAAGAGAAAGGCATGCAACAGACTCCCTTTCAGCCTTCAGAGAGAGCATGGCCCTGCTAACACCTTGGTTTCAGACTTCTGGCCTCCAGAAAAGCGAAAGAATAAACTTCTGTTGTAAGCCACCCAGCTTGTGGTACTTTGCTACAGCAGCCCCAGGAAACAAATGCAGCCCTTTCAAAGACTTCACTGTTTGCTTTGGCCAAATGTCTCCCTCCAGAAGAAGCTAAGGGCATACAATCAGGTCCCAGCACCGGAGTGGGCTGCAGGGGGGCAAGAAGATAAAGGCAGGACCTAGCTCCACATCCTACAGGGTGTGGGACAAGCAGGCCACTCGATAATGAGCAAAGCTGCTGGTTCCCATCCTCTCCCCACCAAAGGGCATCCAAGCACCAGGTCTTAGCTCTAATGCAGGAGTCCATTCTAATGCCAGGCCATCGCACATCAGGCTCACCTCTCTCCTGCCCCACCACCAGTTCCTCCCCATGAAGCCCTTCCCACCTAGCTGTGTGGATTTCTTCCATTTCCATATTCTAGCTACACATACATAGCCTGGACCAGGCAACTGAAAGCTTCATTGCACGAGGAGTTCCTGATTTTGCCCTGCTGGGTTTACTCCAACTAGAACGCACATTCGCAGAGTGGCAGACTCCGTTGATCTCCTCATCCATATCCTCCACAGCTGCACCTCTGGGCAGGGACGAGGTGTAGAGAGCCATGCATCCTTTCTCCAAATACACATCGAGCCCTGCCGTGTGGCTAACAGATAAAAGATGGGAATGGCAAGCGTGGATACAACATCAGAAAGGAAACCCCAGATAAGGGGGCCGGGGTAGAGTGCCTGCGGGCCAGGGACTGGGGCAGTGGGAGGTCACGGCTTGCTTATCTCCCTGGGGGAGCACACTGCCCACCACAGCAGACCGGAGGGCCCACACACTCTCTGCATGTATTGGGAGCCTCCCAGGCAACGCAGCTCCTACCCAGCACACGGGGAGCCTTGTTTCCCTCCTGCAAGGCCAGTTCTCCCATCCCTGACATTAGGAACCCTCAGGACCTCAACTGGCCTCCTCATCCATGCAGCTTCTCACGCTGGAGAAGGAACAGAAGCATGAATGGGGAGTACATGGCTACTGGTGCTTTGCCCTTTGGGGAATCCCAAATATTTCCCTGATGGGCCACAAGGAGAGCAAGGCCATAGGGAGAGAGGCGGGAGTAGAGGAAGCCAGCCAGGAAACAGAAGGTGAAAGCATCCAGACCAAGGTGGGGCTGGCCAGAGGGACTCCTCAGGGAAGAGGAGAGGGGCAGACCCAGCCACTGGGAGAGGAGCGGGTATCTGTCACATGGCCATGCTCCATCCCTCGCTCGCTGGCTGTGTGACCTTGGGCTGGTCTGTCATGTCTCTGGGGCTAAGTGTCCCCAGTGAACAAACAGGGAGAATCACGCCTGCCAACCTCCCCACCTGGGCTGCAAAAGAGAGCTAAGGAGACAGTGCGTGAGGGCGCTCGGAATGGCAGGCACCCGATGGAGACAGGAGGCATCGTCCTCATCTTCCTTCTCTGCCTAGCGCTGTGCCTGCCGCTGCAAGTGTACAGCAAGATCAGCTTTCCCTGGTGTCTGATACAGAAGGAAAAACAGACCCACTTATCCTGCAAGGTGGATCTGGGTCCCACACAGGGCAATTGACCGCATCAAGGAGACGGGGCTCCCTCTTACTCTCCCATCCTACCGTGCCCCAGCCTACTGGAAACCAGGGCCTCCTGACCCCGCTGTCCTTCTCCACGTCATGCTGGGGACACAGGAAGAGGAACACAGCCCTTAAAGCAGGGCAATGCACACAGGGCCCCTTGGCTAGGCCCCAGGTGACCACTGACAAGAGCACCTCCTCACTCCTCTGAGGTTATGACCCACCTCTTTGAAAGCAGGCCTGATTGCTGATGCCAGGGCCTTGGAGAGCTATTCATAGCAAAGGGAGGGGGAGAACCCAGGCCTGAGGCCGGCAGACAGCAAAGGGGACAGCAAAGGGGACAGCAAAGTGAAGAGAAGCCGCTAAGCCTTCTGTTCCTCCATTGCTCCATCCTCAGCGTCCAGCAGCCTTGGCAAGAGAAAGTGACAAATGGAGCTATTTAGGAGGACACAGAGTCCAAGACCAAGGCTCCAGGAGGCCTCTGATTGCTCAAATTTCTCTCTGCCCCTCCATGTGTGATCAAGTCCACAGTAGTGGGCTCCCTCTGC